CTCAGAAACGCAAGAAGCGTACAGAAGAACAGTTTATGGCAAATCTTCCAGAGCAGCGCGTTACTCCAGACAAGCCTCCTTTTAATTTTGTAGGCATTGATTATTTCGGGCCACTACTTGTTAAGCAGGGTAGAAGCACTGTTAAGCGCTATGGTTGTCTTTTTACCACCCGTGCTGTTCATGTTGAAATAGCTCACTCTTTGGATACTGATGCAGTTATCAACGCCTTAAGACGTTTCATTAGTCTTCGTGGGTATCCAGAAGAAATCAGAAGTGATAATGGGTCCAATTTTGTAAAAGCTGAGAAAGAACTGAAGGCAGCTGTTTTGAATTTTAATGAATCGCAGTTGCATAACTATTGCTTGTTGAAGAATATTAAATGGTATTTCAACACACCAGAAGCTAGCCACATGGGTGGCGTTTGGGAACGTGTTGTCCGTTCTGTCAAACAAATAGCTAAATCTGTCATTGGTATTCAATTGGTATCTGATGAAGTCCTTTTAACTGTAATGGCGGAAGTTGTTATGATATTGAATAGCAGACCTTTAACTCGGGTTAGTGATGATATTTTGGATGAGGAACCATTAACTCCAAATCATCTTCTGCATCTTAGACTAAGTCCCAGTTTGCCACCTGGATTATTTGAGAAGAAGGCTTTGTATCTCAAAAGAAAGTGGAGACAAGCTCAATATTTGTCCGAAATATTCTGGCGCCGCTGGATTAAAGAGTATGTTCCTACTTTATGGGAACGAAGTAAATGGACTATTAAACATAGAAATATCAAAGTAAATAATGTTGTTTTACTCGCAGATGATAACTTTCCTAGAAGTCAATGGCCACTTGCTAGAATCGTAGAAGTTATTAAATCTAGTGATGGACTAGTTAGAACCGTCAAAGTTAAAACTTCATCAACTGTTGTTACTTGTGCGAAACGTATTCGCCAAGCTGAATTTAAGGATTCTACCATTATCCTAACACGACCAATTACAAAGATTGCCTTGTTAGAATTACATGATTAGTTGGTTAACTGTCTAAGTAATATATTATGTTATGTAATATGTAGTTTTAAAGGTTAAGTTCTCCTTTTTTATATTACTTCATGGTAGACCTTTTTGTACTTGTTTACATAAAAATATGCTTGAGGATTTTTATGTAGGGGCTGGTGTGGCTACCATTTCAGTGTTAGTCATCATTAATATTATTAGGCTAAGCCTATTGTAGGCCTACTTCTCCTTTGGTCTAAAAAGGAGTTGTGGTCCGATTCCGATGTAACTTTTATAATTGGTTAAGAAAGGCTACTTCCTGTTTAGTTGTCTATTTTCCTCTAAAAGCACATGGATGCTGAAAATAGTTAAAAGTTAGTTTGAGAGCTAATTATTACAAGCAGGAAGGAGCAAACATTTTCTTAACCGGCAGCAAACATTAGTTAACAGCAGAATACATTGTTTAATATCGAATGTAACTGTAGATATTAGTTTAATGCTGACTTTTATTTTATGAATGTGAAACTGCTGTGTTGAGCATTAGTTCCTCCTATCGAAATAATAAAACTGTGAATTTTGAAACTTTTATTTCTATATATACCAATGCCCAAATGCTTGAGTTTGAGACAAATACTATGAAATTATCAGTTTCTATCATTTATTAATTAACCAATTATTAATTGCTTAGTCTATCGATAAGGTGTAATACCCATAATAATAACTATTTTGACAGTGAAAATTGTCTTGTTTTATATTTTAGGTAATAAATGGTTTAATGAGTAGAGATGACTGGCAATTAGCCATCAAGTTACCTGTAGGTTGTTTACCTGGTGGTTCTGGTAATGCTTTATGTTGTGCCATCAATTATTCTGCTGGGTTAGTAACAATTTTGTTTTGTGTATAAAAACGTATTTTAACCAACACTTTAAGCACTGAATGATATCAACATCATGACCTGAGCTCCAAGCCATAAAATCATTAAGTGTATGATGATAAAGGGACAGATGCGCCATTTTTTTTTTTTACCATACTTTAGTCTCAGAAACAGAAATTTTTTAACTAAGCCAATCAGTAATAGTGTTCACAGCACACTGTAGAAATTGAACCTTCAAATTAATGTGTGTCCAGAATTATCCGCATTTGAATGTTCAATGATGACTCGTCATTTAAAGATACAATGTGATATCAAGAAAAGACAAACATAGAAATCTTGAGTAGAATTCCTAGTTTAAAGTATTTAAGTAATTATACAATTTCGTATATTTCTAGTACTTCTGAAGACTAATTATATATATTCAAGACTAAAATCAACCCCCCAAAATGCCTCACATGTCCCTTCAACAGTATATGATGTCAATTAACAATTGCCACTTTATAAGCTAGACATCACACAAATTGATGGCAATTAGAACAGTTGCTTGTGTTTCAGGGTTACTGACAGTTAATTAATGTTTTGTTGATTTTAAAAGTCTTTATATCAAGTTATGAACTTTCCTTAAGAGATAGATAAGGCTGTTCAATGATTTTATAAATGTTGTTAGTTATTTTTAAGCCCAATGCGAGTGCCAGTGTTTGGTTAGCAATGATATAAAAAGACATGTATATCCACATACATGCAAGTGACTTGACATTATCTTTTGATAGTGATTGTCTATTTCAGTGAACCAGTTCTACACAATTTACTTTTACATTCAACATTCATTCTAATCAAACATCGAGTTATCCCAATGGATCTTGTATTAATTCAGACACCCACAGAAAGACTTTATTCCTTCCTGTCTGTAAGCTGGGGTATTATAGCAGATATTGATCTAGAAAGTGAAAAATACCGAAGTATAGGAGAGGCCAGATTTACATTTGGTGCTCTCAAAAGAATTATAGGTACTGTCTTTTCAATCCTCTTTTCATTGAATTCGGGTTTGGGGATTAAAAGCCTGTTTACTATGTTCAAGGTTGTATGAGCACTCTGCCTTAAGAAGTACATGACTTCCAAAATTTGATTTTCAAATTCAAACTACAAATTGATATATTACTCTTGATGTTTTATAATTTAAGGTTTACGTCACTATAGAGCTCGAATATCCTTCCTGCCTGTTGCTCAATATGTACCAAAATATGGTTCAACAAAGACAGATAAAAATGGAATTTTAACTAAAATTCGAAGGTTTTCTCTGAGAAGTAGAAGTAGCAGTAAAAATACAATAGGGTCACATGATGATATTTCTGAAAACAATTCCTGTCAAAATTCACCTACTAAAATGTTAAATGGTGAAGCTGTATCTACTGAAAATCTAACAAATGGATGCCAGGAGAACTCCAATCAAATGAATGGTAATGAAAATGCTGTATTAGAGATAACAAGTTCCCAGGATTTTAATGAAAACAAAACGGTACCTAAAAGCTCTGAGGCTGCTACTGCAATTTCGGACAATTTAGAAATGAATGTGAAAAAAGAAACTGAATTTCTAACTGCAGCTGCTGAAGAAAATGAAATCCAAATTGAGCAAGAAGTAACCGTTGCTACTAAAATTCTAGGTCAACCAGTCCCTGCTCCTTTGTTAACTTCCCTTGATCAACCAGTGCCAGATAATTGGATCAGTTTTGAAGATGATTTTGTTACAATAACAGCAGTTTATCAAACTCATTTAGGCAGTGATATGCTTGCTTCTCCTGAATCCAGAATAAATGATGGATTTATATATTTGATTATAATAAGATCAGGAATTTCACGAAATGCCTTATTAAGTTTATTTATGTCATTTGATGAAGGAAAACATGTGGATTCTCCTGATGTGGAAATTATCCGGTGCTTAGCATTCCGTATGGAACCAAAAGAAGGAAACATTATGGTTGATGGTGAACACATTGACCTTTCACCTATTCAAGGTCAAGTTCTACCAGGGCTTTCAAGATTAATGGCTATACAGTAGAAGAATAAAATAAACTGGAAAACTATGTGATAAAAATATAGTATTGTCATTTTTCTATTCTTGCACAGCTATCTGATTATTCATCAATAAGTTTTTATTAGTGATGAGCAGCTATGATATAATAATTTCATAGTTATATTATATTTATGAAACTTCAGATACCTGTGATTCATATTAGGAATTAGATTACAGTGAAGCCAACCATATATTTATTTTTTCAAAATCAAAAATTAGAATATAGTTATTTTATGCAATGATAATTTGATTGATTGTGTGATATTATAATTTTCTATAGCAGTATTTCATGTAACTTTATTAAGAATTGAGATTTTTGCTTCTAATTTCTTGAAGTCCTACTTCTCAAATAAATATTTCCTTTTATTAAAGTAACCTATACACCATCGTCTCCTAAAACTATTATTTATAGCTACTGTGTTTCACTTTAGTAGATAAACATTATATTAAAGGTAATAAATATTTATGATATCATGTAATTTTTGAGCCAGTTTGTACTTGATCATATGCACAGAACTCAAAATTCACTGCATCATACAAAGCTAATTTTGTTAAGTAAGCCATAGCCCCCACCATTTATTAATGAGGGGTGTGGTTTAAAAGACCATGCCTATACATATTATGTTATCAGAATGATAACTACTAAATATTGATATTATAGTTCATTGGTATGAGATAATACAGGCCAATATTTGATAATATTTTGTAGGCTACAAATCTCAGTATATTTTGTTTATATAAGAAGAAGGAAGAGTGATATTAAGTTAAACATGATTAGCCATTTTCAGTAATATTTACTACTTTTGGTATGTAGGTTGCTTTTCATCACAGTCTATGCTTAGGTAGTTGTAAAATTGTAAACTCAGCATTATATTTCTATTATCCAACTAATATTGTCATTATTATTTTTTTATCACAAAATATTGTAAAAATCAAAATAATCTTATTTATTTGACAGGATCAGAAACTGCCAAAATACATTAGTTAAAGAAATGCTAACCTTATACAATGAACATGAAATTATCTTATGACTTATGTTAATACATTAATGTATATTTTCTTTTTTCAAATTTTATTTTATTTTTTTTAATGATTATTCATAGTCTAGATTATTTACAATATTTATTACTTAATATTTACAATGTTTATTCTTCAATATATCCAACTACTGATATATCTATGATTGACAGGTACTGGTGGATTGAAGCAGTATTAAAAAGGATAAATTGATAGTTTTCATCACGTCAATGTAGATATTAGGAATGGTATTGGATCTTGTTATATATACTGCTTTAAAATAATTTCACTGTTTAAATGGTGCTCAATACATCAATTGTTGAGCGATATAGAAATATTAAAACACTTCTTTAAACAAACGTTCCGAACTCATCGCGAAATGTAGACATGAGAATAAGTTCTACTTCAGTATTGACGCAGGCTGAATTATATAGGTCAGTTGTCTGAAGATCGCATAGCATGAAACTTTGAGTAACAACAACATGTTTTTTAGCTACTGTTTTAATATTTCTATATACTGCTTTATATTATTCTATATATATATTACATATATAACCTTCTTTCTCAATATGGATAACAAGATTCAAATTCATTTCTCAAGTAACATCACTCGTTTAACTTTACTAGTTTAACTAGTGCTATGCATTAATTAAAATATTATTATTCACAGGTGTGACAGATACATAATATATAACTATTTGTTTAGATGTAACTATTTCATTCCTAGAGAGAATAAAAATCGATATATTTTCATTCAGTTTGTTATATATTTGTTAGATCAGTTTCAAACTGACTGAGGGATATAATCGTCTACATTTTTTCTGAACCAGTTGATAGAGATTAGATATCTATTTCAAAATGTGCTGTCCAGTTCTTATGTTATTGTGCAAAAAGTATACAAAAAGTTAAATATTGTCCTTAATTCCAGGATATACAAATTAGTAACATGTCAATATTATCAAACATTTCAGCAGTAATAATTGCCCGTAAGAAAGTTAATAAAGGACAAGAACAGCCTTCCACAGTACATTTTTGCTGAATTACAAGAAACCAACAAGATTCCAATTCTGAAAAGTGATATGGGTAGTTGAAAATCAGCTGCTAAAATAATATAGGCAGGGGCTTCATTGAGAGTAAACACATCATTACTGGTGCCTTGCATCTTTACATTACAGAACCAATGACTGTTCATCAAAATATTAAAACATCACTTATTATGACCAAATCTATGCTGAAATATTTATAACAGCCCCATCAGGCCTTCATATACAATCTATTGGTAAGGGATAGGAGGTACAATTATTTGACAGGTACCAGTAAATTGCAGTTATAAAGGGTTTTAGTGAGGATTTACGGGTTTTATTACAAAAGATATATCTGACAGTGTTAAAATAAGGAATAAATGTTTATCTTTATCATCGTTATAGAAAAGAATTCTTTATCTTGTGAAAAACCTTACCTGACCCACTTTCTGGGTCAATTGCACTATCACATGATTATTTTTCTAATAACTCACAAATATTCTGCTTTAAAACTGTAAAATTTCAATGCAGCAGTCTCTGGTCAATTGGTTTTGAGAAAAAAGACTGAACTATTACAAGTACTCTAGATCTGGGTTTAGAGATCAGATTTAACCATGTTTGTGATCCTATCAAAAAAACAATTTTTTCACTTATTTGAACTTTATTCATGTTTTTAAGAAATGCCTCTGTTTCTGTGAATTTGACAAATATATTCAAACATAATGAAAGACAAACTACTTATTCCATGAAAAAATATTGTAATCTTTATGATCTTAAAATAGATTATAAAACGAATTTCTATTAATTCTATCTAAATTAAAGTATGTGACATATAAAAGTAAATGAAAAGACAAGTAAAATTTGACAATGAACTAATTTAGTGATACTATATACAATTATAAAATAGAAATCTATCACAGTTAATACAATAAATAGACATTTTAAATAACATCTAGAAAATAATATATAAACATATTATAATTGATAGCTCCTACAGAATTTAAAATAAAATACACTCCCTTTGAACAGTTCTATATTTTTAAGATATCAAAGAGGTTTTTTTTTAACACAGATAGCATTGTTTTGCATTATTATAATTTTAAGTTTATGGGTTTATCAATTCAAATAAAACTGAGCATTTTAAGATGTAGCTATTACCTTATTTTAGCAGCTTTTTGCAACATCATATACAGTTAAGAGTTTCTATAATTACAGAAACCGCAGACATCTGTTAGAAAATTGAAATGTTACAAATAGAAACAATAAATGGCCTCAAATACATATTCAAGGTTTACAAAAATCTTTTTCCAACTTTATAATCCATGGACTATTTCACTCCTTATTTGACATATATATCCGGTTTAACAAAAGTTTGACCTGGCATTATAATATGTACTTAGCTTTTAAAACAGTAATCTAATAATTATAAATATAAACAAAAATATAAACAAAATATCTGTATAACTAATTGAAAACATTATATTGTTTATGCCTACAGTAAAATTTATTCTAGTTCTTTCTTTGGAATTTTTATGAAATTAAAATCTGCACAAGGCCACATTTTGATGCCTTTGACAAGAAATGATATTAGAAGGTGATGACTGGAATCATTGAGATGAATGATATGGGGAATGTTTTAATGTTTCTAAAAACATACTCTCTTCTTCTAAATAATCTTTATCCTAAAATTAGACAAAATATTGGTGTGTTGTATTTAAATCATACTACACTCTTGATCAGACTAATAAAATAACCTGTATTGTTATAATACAAATATAAATGTGACCCAGCATAGCAAAATGGGTTACAGTGACTCAAAATTTCAACACCTTTTAAGGTAAGAAGCCCAACATGCCTGATCCAAAATGTAATTTGGTATATCTATATCTATGAGAAGAAACCATGAGCAATGATTAATACATCATTTTAAAGCTGAGATCATTTCCTTCAATTAAGCCAATTCCTCAGTTTTACAATTTGGTCACTCTGCTTTGCCATGTCAAATAATCATTTATGTCCACACATACCCAGATATTTCAGTAAAAATTTAACACCACATTGTTATAATGCATCTGATGTGGATTATATCAACAACAAACTGTTCATTATTCACATGAACATTAAACTTGAGATTTTGTGAAATGACTAAATTATAGAAGAATTTTACCTTTAAAGCCTGTATTTTCCACATTCTGATAGATCTGTCATGAGCTATAGAAGCTGTGATAGATTCTATAGTATTAACTGTACCATTATAAATAGGACTAGAATATTTATTACCATATACACCAGGCAGTGGGGTGGACATCATTATATTATTTGGAGAATTCATCACTGAAATAAAATGGAATTCACATTCTTCTAGTTCTTCTTTTTTTTTAAAAATGTGGACAACAGCAGTTTAAAACACTTATCAACAATTAATTTGAATTCAAATCATTTGCATATTTCAAGCAACTTCATGTAAAAACACTTTGATACTTTCTTTAAGGTAATAGCTGTTCATGCTTGATTCAGATCATGGATAATATACATCATCTTTGAGATTTAGTATGAAAGTATTCATATGATACAAACATGGTAACAATGTCACAGTCCTTCGCTCACTATCCTGTTATATTTTATTGATGAAAAGTAAATAAGTTATCGTACTTGGCTGGCCATTTGATATTGCCACTGTACCATTTACCAATCCACCATTTATTGGTGAGCGACAGTTTACACATAAACTTGAACTCCGTAATTTCTCTAATTCCTGTCTTTCTTTTGATATCTTTAGTTTCTCCTGTTTTAAATAATAAGGTGACCTAATTTTATGCAGTTATCAAAAGATGTCTATAATCTATCGTCGCTTTACAGTAACAAAATATTTTCACTATTAAAAAATGGTGCTCAATACATCAATTGAAGAGCAATATAGAAATATTAATACAACTGACCTATTTCAGCCAGTGTGTCCCTGGTTTAGATTCTGTTTCCGTATTTATATAGTATTTGACAGAGATGACTTATTGAACCTCCCAAATGTCTTTAGAACTGCAAAGTTACTATAACCTATCCTACATATAAAATATTTGACAAACTAGAAAACCAATGCATATTAATCTAACCTGAGCAATATTTGACTCCATGTTTTTCAACTTTTGTAATTCATGTTGTATATTATTTAACCTTTGATTATGTTGTGATTCTAAGTTTCTAGCTTCCATTAAAGATCTATCTCCTTCACTCTGTGTACGATTTGCCATCTAAAAAAAGTAGTGGTAAATTTATGTGACATGTGAATTGTACAAACATGACATTAAGTGCTATAATTGGATATCCAGGTTACCTCTTACTTAGTCATTGTAAACCCAGCTAGATCATCATAACCTCAATCTCTGTACTATCAGAATACTACAGAATTATGAAGAGTCTGATTTCAAAATCATACCTCTGTCATGGAATCAATCTCTGCAATTTTAGATTTTAATTGTAGAGCTCTTCTGGAGAGATTTTCTTTCTCTGTTTCTAGGTGTGCCTTCTCTCTTTCAATTCTAGCTTTTTCGTTGGCTAATCTCTCTTCCTCAAGTTGGAGTTCATGTTTACGGGCTGCTGACCTGGTTTTTTCTTCCGCTATAGTTTTGGTTAAAACTTCATATTCTGCTTTCGTCTGCAATTGATATAGAAACATTTGATCCATATACAAGGAAAAATAGAACCTCTCAATTATCAAACAAACTCATATAATTATTTTGTGTATAAAACATACATGACATGAACATCATTTACATCGTTCAATAATAAGTCTTTTTAAAGTCAAATATAAAACTTTTCTTTGTCACAATCACCAACTCATAAGCTATTAGCTGAACTCCACAACATTTAACAACTTTTCTTCCAATATCCTGTTAGATATCACACTTTCCATTAAATACATCACACTTTAAAGATGGGTTCATTTACGAAAATTAAAATGTTATTACTTTTATGAATAGAAAGTAGAGGTCTTCTAATAACTTGGAAAAATACAAGTTTGTCTCACATCCATAATTAATTTATAATTAGCTAAATTAGAAGAGAATAACCAGCAGAATTCCAATGAGTGACCGATCAAGAAAGGTAAAAAAGTATTTTTTGTTTATCCAGACTGTAAATACATGGACATTTATGATTGGTTAAAACTCTTAATCATATGCAATAAGAACATAATACTTCATTACAAACTCCAATTAATCAAATAGTTTGCTTAATTTGACACTAAAAAATAAGGAAACCCATCTATGAATAAAACCTTTTATGTAATCTAATGAAAAACCAAACCTGTGCCATTTTAATAGCTTCTTGATGTGACTGCTCTCTATGTAATTTTAAATCTACGTTCCATTTCATTCTTTCTTCAGCTAAATTACGTCTCTCTGTATTTAACTGACTTAATGATGATCTTTGTTCTTCTTGGAAGTTATCCTGTAAATACATGCTATAGCATTATATCAAGTTTAAGATATTGCAAGTAATCTCAGTACTTTTTACTTTGACTGACAACAATATGTTGACTTTGTTTGTCTTGTCAGAAAGATAATTACTAACAGCTATGTTTGATACACCTACCCTAGCTCTCTCTAATGCTGATCGTTCTCTATTTTGTTGTTCCAACCAAACTCTTTTTTCTTCTTCTAATGATCTTTGATTGGCTTCTAATCTGGCAGATTCACTTTTCATCTTCCAACGCTCCTAGAGAAAATCATATATTTTATTGCATTGCAGGATTTACTTGATACAGAACAGTAAATATCAACATGACTTACATCAAACAATATAATTTACAATACACTGGAATAAATACTACTCTTGGTTTCAAACCATTCCATACATATATATTTTTTGTATGAAACTGAGTCCTATATAGTGAAGATTAAATTTCCTTCATAAATTACCTCATCTAAGAGACGTGATTGTTCTTTCATTTGAGTTTCCATCCTTGAGATTAGATCTTCCAGTCTCTTTCTTTCTTTTTCATTATCTTCTTCCTGTCTAGTTAATCGTTCTTGTAAATCTGAAATTCACAACAAATAGATCAATTATTACCCTGAATGTTGACAATACTTTCACCCCTTAACTTGAAACATGTTGACTTTGAATGAAATTGAAACTGAAAAACCACCTACTCTGTAATTGTTGGTCTTTAGCTTTCAGGCTGATTTCTCTTTCATCCAGTCCATTACGATGTATTGATTCCACTTGTGTCTGTAATGATCCTATATCTTTAGCACTAGTTTGTATTTGTTCTACCACAGCAGTTAAACTTCTAAAATAGAAAATATTTGAAAAAAAAAAAAACTCCAAATAAAATCATATCAAATTTTTTAATGTGCAAAACATAAACTGTTTAAAAGAGGCATACAAACAGGTATTTTGAAGCTATAATCATAACATAACTGGCAGACACAGCCAAATCAACAGCTCTGAGAGATTCAAAACACTTACTTGGATGTATCATTAGCATTAGCTACAGCATTTATTTCTTGATTTTTGGCTTCCTTTAATCTCTCTATTGATTCTACATGTTCACGTTTTAACTCACTTAATGATATTCTAAAATAATTAAAAATATATTTTTATATACTTATTGCAACGGTAGGGAAACTGAATATAAGCCCTCCTTTAAAATAAAATTAAAGCTATTCAATGATTCTTAAATATTTTGAAGTGATTTTAAAATCATTTTAATCTAAAGAATACTAACAAAGATAACTTTATGTATGGAATCATTTTCAATATAACAATATAAAAGTATTTGTATACCTATTGTATATTGTCAACTTACCTGTGTTGTTCTTTTAGCATTTCCAGATCTTTAGATTTTGCTCTCTCTAGTTCTTCTAGTTTACGATAATTATCATTAGCTAACTCAGACTTTTCTTCCTCCATTTGTCGAACACGTGATAAATGTTTCTCCATTAACTGTTCTGTTTCTTCTCGTAGTCTGAAATAATATTCAAACAGAAGTTAAAATATTGAGATATTGAAACTGAAATCATTCTTGTTTGTTATTCATTGCACAATCTGAATATTTTCAGTTTTTTTCTTATCTCTATGCCCCACTGTTAACAACTATTATACTTATAAGGTACTTTATTTCTTTCAATAAGCTTTTCCAAGGATTTCATAAATCAATTTGGGAAGGTGCTTTTAGAGAACAAAAGGACAAAAATATCATGAGATAGCCTTGACATATCTCTTTGTATTGTGTTAATCTTGAAATAATAAAACTAGAAATAGGATTTTCTTTTACCTGGCTTCCTTCTTTTGATTAGATTCTTCTAGAATTTTCATTCTATTTCTAAATGATGTTTCTACAGCCTGAATTTCATCTTCATATCTTTTACGTGTACTATCTAATAATGATTCAGCATACTGTTTTTCTACTCCCAGTTTCTGAATCTATCATTTAAAAAGAATGATCAATTATATATCCTTCTTTGTGTAATAAGCTTCATTCATCCCATCTAGCTTGACTTAAAGTTATCAGAATTTCACTCTCAAATATCAATATTCAAGCTCAACAATTGAACTCAACATGTATATGTATGAACAAAACATTATAAAACATATAGAAGAATTTTCATAAGAGATAAACTTACCATAGCATGTGCTTCATGTAATGAATGAGGCAGTATTATTTGACCAGTAGAATAAGCACTTGGTACTACTGATGGCTGTGTTATAGACTACAAGAAAATTCTATGTTTTAAAGTAAATGATATAAATCTTTCCTAGTAACAGTGTCTGATAAAAAGGACCTTTAACAAGTTTGAAAAGGTTTAACAAATATAAGGTTTTACTATTTTTTTAAGATGTCAACAACATACATTTTTTTCAAATTTGAGAATGAAAATTTTGAGTTGGAGAAAAAGGTAAACTAAACTAAATTACACTATGGCCTTCCAATCTTTCATTTGAAGATCATAAAGAGCTAACCTGATGAACTGGTAGTGGACTATAATGTTGTTGTTGATATGAGGGTTGAGCTGGTGCATTATAACTACCACTAGTAGAAGGTGGAGTAATAGTATTACGTACAGCATTGGGAACACGACTAGGATATACTGTAGATTGTATAACTCTCTGGGTTTCAGGGCCAGTTTGTATCTGAGGTTGAGATTCAGGTGCGGATGGGGGTTTCTGAAGAACATACAAATGAAAGTAATTATCTAGAATAATAATCTAGAATATGTAAAAGTAATGTTATAAATATAAAAGTTATGATCTCGAGAGCTAGTTATCTAGAATATGAACAAGATCTAAAAGAAATGATATAGCACAAGTTTATGTAATAGTAATCTTAATTCCACAAGTTCGAAGAGATGATTTTTGCATAAAAATATTCAGACACCACCAAAAGCATTAAATTTAAAAGAATATAAAATTGCAGCTTTGTGTGACTTGCCTGAACTTTCTTTTTAAAATAGGGACTTTCATCTAATTGATGGAGATCAGCTAGTTGAGATAATGGAATTTTTGAACTGGATGGAAAAGGATCTTCAGACTGACTGACATGTTTAGATTCTATTGAGGGAAAAATATCATCATCATCATCATCATTATCATCAAGAAGCAGACGTCTTCTTCTCATACTTGCATCAACACTGAAAATATCATTAATTGTAGATTTTTTAGAGAAAAACACCATTAATAACCATGATTACTCTCTGAAACTAATGAGTTACTGATCCCCATTCCAAAATGACATCTGATGTTTGGAATATGATGTGAATGTCTCCGTCATCATTGCAAGAAAAAAAATAATCTTTAAAATATGTTTGTGAAATTGCCAACACATCACAATTTCTCCACTATCAACAAAAAAAAGCTATTTCCCATCAGGGTTCATCATTCAATATTGTAATTCATATATGGACAAAAGTAAAACAATTGACCTTCAAGTTTCAACAGGGTTCTTATAAGAATTCTGAAAGCTAACCTGTCATTAGATGGAGGAGCATCAAATATATCTTTTCTATCACTCACTAATTTCTGACCAGGGAATGTGGGTGATTCTGTTTTTTTACTGAAAGTAATCAAGTAATAACTAATTCTCAAAACAAGTGTAAATACTCTCTGATTATCTCATTGCATTATAAGATGGCATTGAAGATAATTGGAAAATACATTTCATTATGCTAATTTATCTGCAGCTCTTTCATATCCTGAAGTATAGTCATTGGGCTTACTTACGTTAAAATATCATCCAAATCAATTTCTTTTCCCAGACCTAAATAATCATTTTTATCTGGTAAACTCGAAATTACATTCAACTTAGGTTCCTCTTTAACTACAGGTGTTGTTTTTTCTTTAACTGGAGGAGCATCAACTTGATCTTCTCCATGATTCATGGCTTTTAACTTTTTTAACCAATCATCATTGTCTTCAAGTCGACTTAATGTTTTCTTTTCTGATCTTGTTTCTGATTGGTTAACTTCTTTATCTTCATCTGATGAATCTTTCAAGCCCAGCCAATCAAAGGAATCAGATTTTGATACAGATTTTGTATCCTTCGTCTCGGAAAGCTTTGGTGTATTCTTGACATCAATGGATGCTCTATTACCAGAAGCTAATTCCAACCAATCCATGTCATCTGCAGCCTTTGATGATTTAGCTGAATCAGGGCGCCCTCTGGATGGAGGTTTATCATCTGTTCCAAATATATCATCATCTTGAAACCTAAATGACAATCATCCTTGAAAAGGATATTCCTATAGATGGAATTACGAAAAATTCATCAAAAAATTTCCAAATTAACATTTCAATATAATATTAATATAGATATAAATTATCATGGTTTTTAATTGAACTGTATTTACCAGATATGTCTGATTTAATGTCAAAAATGTGCATCAGGCTATAATTCATTGTGATATACAGTATAAAACCATGGTATGGTCTCAATATTGAAAAAGGTCTATTAATAGTATTATACTATAATCAATATTATAATATATACATACCGGACAGATCTACGAGATGTTGGTCGTGAACCACCACTAACAGATGATGGCTTATATTCTCCAAATAATAAATCTTCATCAGAATCTTCATCTACAAGTACATTGTCACTTTCTATTTATAATTCATCTTTATAAGAAGGATCAATCAACCACTGAGCCATGATAAAGTTGTCAAACTCATTGCAGGTGAGAGGAAATTAGATAAAAATTGTTCTAGAAGCAATGGTATATAAAAAGTTGGGTGATTAAATCATTTTAAGCTACAGAATCTGCTCAAGTTACTTAATAAAAGTTACACTACAAATCATACCTTTCTGGGAAAATTTCTTTGTATCTAAAATAAATTCTTTACGTTCTGCTTTTTGTAAATGTTTATTGACACTATCTTTACCCAATAAACTATCTAAAGCAGACCTAGCAGGTTTGGAGGCATCCTCATCTTTTACTGCTGCCTTGACCGGTGTCCTTGGTTTTTCATCAATACCTAACCCATCTAACATTGAATCATCATCACTGAATAACCTTTCTTCTCTCTTTTTAGGAACTAAAAACAATAAATACCTAAATCCAGCAAAGTAGTAATTTAAATTAATTACATATTATTTAAATAGTTTTTCTTCAAGAAATTTGAGGGAAAATAAGAAAATCCCTTTGGATGTACTTTAACTGATAATGGTTGCAAAATGGTTGAGAAAAAATATTGGCAATACTTTTGTTACCTGGTTTAGCAATGACGTTTTCTGGTTTAGTCTCAGGTGTAACTGTTTCCGCTCCACTACGGGTAGGTGGTCGATCGTATAGACTAGGTGTAGTATCTTCTTGAACTTTGGTTTCGGTTGAAACAGGAGATGCTATTTTGGTTTCAGATGAAGAAAAGATATCATCAGAAGAAGATCGCTTATCTAAAGTTTTCTTGAAGGATGGTTTTATCTTTGTTTCCATGACAGAATCTTCTTCGTCTGATAATAATCCTGCCAGTGGATCATCTTCATTAAATTCTAAAATTAAAGTTTAAAAGACAACAATCACAAATTTCATATATATGTAATATTTTTTGTCATATGACTGCAGACAGTTTAAAATCCATTCATTTAGAGATTGGTTTGTATCAAAAGAGTATTTTGAATATAGAGGAACAAATTTAATAACACAATTTTTCCAATGGTTATTAGGACTTTGATAGTTCTATTTAAAGTTCTTCCATTGCTGTGTGTAAGCTTAGGTAAAAGTTTTAATTTTCCTACAAATATATTCATTATACATAATGATGCAATGATCTGCACCTACCTCCATAATCTATTTTGGGTTTAGCTCTAGGTACAGTTTGAGGTCTCTCAGAGTCTGTTTTAAAAGATTGTCCTGGTTTTAAGTCTTCACTTTCTTTTCCAAGGTCTGAAATATACCGTAGTAAAAACAAGACATTACACTATGTGCAATATAATACAGATATTTCAGCACATGTCATCAACCAAACAAAAGATAGCTTGCGTTGCTAGGTAACATACGCCCACTGGCAGCTGTCAGAAATAATAAAACAGTCTTTAGTGACTAAAGTACGAATTTTCTCATATTGAAGAAATTATTTATGC